TATATATATTAAAGGGACCTAAAGATGCTATGTGTATCACTGAAATTTATCCTTAAAATTTTGAAACCAAAAAGCAAATGGTTATGGTTAACAAAAAATTCTTATTGAGGAAGATTATCCAGAGCACAAGGATTCCTAACCACAGATTCTAGTCCACAGGTGGGCATCAGAGGTCTGAAATTATATGACAGTTTATACCTGTGAGAAGTATGAATTGTTAGATGTAATTCTTTTTTTTTTTTTGGTCGGTCATGGGGCTTGAACTCTGGGCCTAGATGCTGTCCCTCAGCTCTTCAGCTCAAGGCTAGTGCTCTACCACTTGAGCCACAGAACCACTTCTGGTTTTCTTGGTTAATTGGAGATAAGAGTCTCACAGTCTTTCCTGCCTGGGCTGGCTTTGAACCACAATCCTCAGATCTCAGCCTCCTGAGTAGCTAGGATTATAGACGTGAGCCACCAGCGCCTGGCTTGTTAGATATAATTTTAAATGATGTTTTAAAAGCAGTTATAGGAACACTTCTAGAGTACACTGGGGACTGATAATGCTTGGGACCATAATGGTAACTTACAGCATGAGATGCCTGTTTGGGTTATGATTGATTAGGGTTCAGATGTACCTGACCATGTGCAGCACAAGCACTATAGGATGGTTACAGAACACAGTACATTATCTCATCACTACAGCAACCCCAAGAGGCAGGAGAGGAAACCAACACACAGAAGGTGTAGATGGCTTACCCAGAGCCAAGACTCAAGTCCAGTCAATATAGCATCAAAATTCATGTTTCCAATCACTAGTCTATACCACTTAGAACATGATTGAAAAATACTGAACACTATTTGGGTATGTCAGCACATTTTCTTTCCTAAAATTTAAGCAATTCTACAGCAGTGCTGGTCAGAAGACAGCAGTGTGGCTTTGAGGTGTAAATTATACCTTTGTAACTTTACAGTATTTTTAGCAGCAATAATATTGACTTGCCTAGCAGAGAAAACATACACATTTGTATCTATATTATGAGCCATGCATTTGCTTTTTAGCTTACGAAGAAAAATTGTTTTATTTCTGAAAAAAGACATTATGGCACTATGTCCCCAACTCTATGCTATGTAATGTAAATTCTTTATTAATGATGATTATTTTATTGGTTTAAGTGAGGAAAAATCTATAATTTCAGTTGATTTAGAGAATGGACAATAATGGTGCCTGAAGTGACTTACTTTTCACATGATGTAGCCACTTATTATAATAGTTTATAAGTTATTTTTAATTCTAATAATTTTATATTTTGTTACATACATGTGTTGTTTCTTCTACTAGCAATTAAAAAATTTGAATTTATAAGAAACTGGCTTAAAAGATTGGCATTTTGGTTGTGAACACTTGTGGATGATTTCCTTTACACAAATGTTTGTGGTCTCAGGTTGTTTTTCTTAAAAAGAACAAAATTATACTCAGCCAGGTCAGATTATCATAATTTGGAAATACATTTCTAGCTATATAGCTGAGCTATCTGTTTAATAGATACTGTATCCCTTTTTTTTAATCAGTCATATTGGTGATATGGAGAATGTTATACAAACATCTCTATATGTGAGACAGGAAGTAGTTTAAGATAGAAAATGTTGAGATCTAATTTTTAAAAACTTGATTAATATAAGATGAATGACACATAAATATGAATTCTTTTGCCATGGGATAGTTTTTTTCAATTTTCAAAGAATTATAGTAAAGTTAGTAGGAAATTGCACTACTGGATTGCAAATGTTTTAAGCCTTAAATCCTTACTATATAAAACTTCTTAGCCAACATTTATTTCATTTCTGGCATTTTTTGGGGGTAAAGTATGACAGCTGTTTAAGGAATGTGTGTGGATGTATATGTGTAAGTTTAAGAACAAACAGCATGCTGAAATGACAAAGTGATTAAAAATAGAATTTAGCAACCCCAAAGTGGCATTTGGAACTTGGCTGGGATGTCTGAGAGATTGGTTATTCTCACACTTGGACAGTGAGATTTTGAGTGCAGGTGCTCACATTTTGCCACTGGTGAACAGTTTCACAGCAAAGTAAAGAATATTCTCCCAAATTTGTCATAGAATGTTAAAATAACAGCTACTATTGGAAGAAGTTGAGTGCTTTTCATAGATAGTAAACTATGCATATCATTTTATTTGTAACCCCAGGAATTAAGAAGGGACACTGTTAAAATAACAATCATTTAAAAAGCAATATCCAACAAACCAGTACTTAATATAGTATTTAAATTAATAATTAAAAACCAGATGGAAGCAGTATCTAAGATAATTCATCACAAATACCATTATAACCTGAATGGTTGTACTTATTAGAAATGATAATTCAACATGGGTAACCTAAAATGTACCTGTATGGATAGAATGTTTTTTTTTTTTCATATACAACCTTACTGGAAGCAGTGTATCTGCATTTACTAACAAAGCTCATGTTAATAAAATATTTCTAAAGTATATTATTTCCTAGATAACTCACTAGTTTGAAAGTCATTCCAGAGATTTGTCTGAATTTCTATTGAAACCTAAGCCTTTAATGAAGACATGCTTCTAAAAATAAGGCATTTTTCTACAATCTGCTTATGAATAGAAAACAAATCTTTGGTTTTTAGTTTAAGTGGCAAGAAATACTTTGCAAAAAGAAAGGCTAAATAAACAACACAAAGAGCTCTTAATAAGCAATGGGAAACTCCAAACCCCATCAAGGTCAATAGAGTACCTAAGGCACCTCAGGTTCAGATGATACAATCATCTTTGCTTAGAGTTTTAATAATCTATATACATGATTCTTACTGTCTGGAAAACATGAAAGGTCAGGTCCCACAATGATTTCTGTGAATGGGAAAGAAGAGAATGGTAAAAGCTGACAATTGGGTGAGACACTACAAAGTATCCCTTTCACCTCCTCTAATTGTAGTAAGATGAGGAAATTGAGGCCCAGTCCAGAAACAAGAAGTAATAACACTTTGTATGTCCAGGTTCCTAATCCATTTATCTTAGATTCCAGATTTCAATGCCTAGTAAATCAACTGTGAAAGGTTTCTGAGATGTAAGTTTGAAAAAAAAAATCCCCATCAAATCTCCAAAGGCAAATTGGAAATGCATAATACTTTACTGTCTTAATTCCTTTATACCATGTGTTGGACAACTTAGCTAATATGTTAATTGAGTTACACAATTCCTTTCAATTCTATCTAAAAATAGACAAAAATTAAATGAGAAATTACAGAAGATTCCATTTGAGCATACATAAGGCCATGAGACTTAATATGAATCACTGTTTCTTGGGAAGAAATAAGACATCCAATGTCCAGTTCTGAGAGAAAGCTCCTGGCTAGTTCTCCAGTAGGCTCTCCACTCTTCCATGGGGAAGCTCACATACAAGACAGTACATCATAGATTTGTGACTGATAGGAGCATTTAAGGCTGTCGTTTTCAAGTATCAGTGTTTAGTGTTCCATTACCCAATTTGTGCAGCAGACAAAGCTATAAGCGCAAGTCACAGAAATGAACAAAAGTCCACCAAAGATAAAGAAATCACCATTTAGGCTACAGCAGGTTCAAGTGTAAGAAAGTCTGGAAAAACTGGGTTAGATCATGCTTCTCTAAACTGCATTAGCTAGTTCCCACTAAAGCTCTGTTGCATGGCATTTGGTATAAGGCAGATCCACAGCAGATGAAGGAAAGAAGCTGAATTAGGTAACAGAACCCATTATTAAGATAGTTCACCTCTTAACACAATTCTATGACCTCTTTTCTCAGGTACAGATTAAAAACAACTCCAGCATACCAAACACACTTACAGATGAACATGAAAGTTTGCTTCCAATTTTTTTTTTTTTTAAAGCAGAGCCTTTCACCTAGGGACTAACAGAGCCTGCCTCTGGTTAAACCACATTATTTACTTCTGGCTTAATGTAATATTGGGAAAGGTAATACAACTGGAGAAAATAGGTGTTTGGAAGCTAGGAGTATCCACTTCACTTATACTCTAGGTGTACATCTAAGTTGTGGTTCTGTAACTTCTGTGGTTCCAACAGCTAGCTGAAGGGTGACATCTTTATTGTGGAAGCAGCTGCTGTCAAAGATTCCATGTAACATGCTTTGAGTCTAGGTTTTTCCTCTTTCGTGCAACTTACAGAGACTCTCCTGTGGTTTGGTCAGCATACACACTTGTTGTTTCATTTAATGTGCACAGTCAATGTGAAATTAAAAGAAAAAAATTATCACCTATTTCAGAAAGGTAAGTTGAGTAGAATGATGGCAGAGTCTGGCCCAGAATTTTAATTTGTAATTTTAGCATGTATCTCATGCAGTTTGGGAAGCATCAAACTAAATCTATTGCCAGAAGCCTTGTTACAGTTTAATGTACTTTAACTAAAATGTGTAAATTTTTTTTAGTGTTCATGATGAATGCATTTATGACCTTAGTACACTTTTGGCATTCTTAAAGGAAGCATGATAAGCTTTAATAGAGAAATATTTAGGTTACACTTAACTTGTGCTCAGGTAATAATAAAACATTTGTCCTTTTTGATTTCAATACATTCTGTCCTCAGGTATGGCCCATCTCCTGTACACTTGGAGCGACCTTTGGCTACGTGGCTGGCCTTATCATTTCACCACTCTGGATATACTGGAATAGAAAGCAACTGACATATAAGAACAATTAAGAGGAGCAAAGGGAGAAGATAATTCTTTGTGCAGATTCTGCAAGAGGTGTGCAGAAATGTAGATGGTCAAAGCCAAGCAGTTCCATTTACAGCACTGATTTTTATGTAGTTTCAACGTGATGTGATTGTAGCTTTTTAAACTATGAAACCCCTGAGAGATTGTACCTTCTAGTGGAAATAAAGTATTTATAATAGATTGTGGCTTCAGATGCTGTTTGCTGCTTCTTAGACCTTTAAGAAACATTCTTAATCAACTTCATAGAATTTTGAGGACCCATTTCCCCTCCCCCCAAGTTTTAAACTGCTTCATTATGACAAATCTGGGCATAGCCATAGCATTTCCAATGCTTCTGAAAGAAATAGTTGCCTTGGCCACTGAAGATGTTTCTCACGTAATCAGACAACAGTTTATACATCTTGATCCTATTCTTTTTTTAACTGTGTGTTTCTTTGGAGTTAAAATGGCTATGATAGCCTCATCAAAAACAGTCTTCAGTCCTTTCTGGGTTAAAGCTGAACATTCCACATAGCAGCATGCTCCTATCTGGGAGGGAGAAAAACCACAAAAGATATAAACATCTGTTTTACACAACTGGTATGATACAGCGCATGATAAGAAAAAGTATCAAATATAGCCATGCACAAAGAATGTACTTGCTATCCACATTAATAACACCCAGAAGCAATCAATTGTTAAATACCCAGAGGTAATCAATTGTTACAGTACTAGCGTGTCCTTTTAGATTTTCTCTATGAAGAATTCTCTCATCAAATATTTATTGGGTGCCTACCTCACATCAAACACTGTTCAGTTCCTAGAGATATTTCAATGAATGGAGTCAGAGCTAAGGAGCCCTGCTGTTTGGTACTTACATTGACTTAGGTTGGGGAGAGAGGAACACAAAGGGAATTCAGAGCAGATGGTAAATACTGGGGAGGAAAAAGCAGAGAAGGGCTTTGAGGTAGGGAAGTCTCAGTGGGTCCAGGGCTCCAGACAAGTGGTACAGAGAGAAGGGTGCAGATGCAAAGACCCTGATGTGGGTGGTGCTGGGAGCCTCCCCACAAACAGAAAAAATGCTGGGGCAAAAGAGGGTGAGCATCACTGTATAAGTGACAACATCAGCAAGGCTGATTATAATCGCCACCTTCTACCCTCAGATGGAACTGTTCACTCACTGAAAATCTGCTATACACACTTCCTGAAATGTAAGAACCAGCAGAGAATAAAATTAAGTCCCTACCCTGTTCTCCTGCAGCTTATTGCATTTTAGGAGGAGACCAATCCTGCACTGGCAAGTATAGAAGTGGAATGTGAGAAACTAATATGGTCTCAGAACAAATGGGAAGGTAGGGCATAGGGAATAAGCAGGGACACATGGAGAAATTGACACTTGAGCTGAAATGTGAAAAGAGTAAAATAATGAATGAAGTCCACATAGTAAAAAACCCTCGGCAGAAACCACAGCAAAAGGACAAAGGCCTTAAGGTAGAATGACAGAGGGGCCTGTTGGCCTTGGAATGGGGGGCGTGGGGGAGGGTTGGACTTTACTCTGCGTGCGTGGAACCCACTGGAGGACTCTGGGCTGAGTGAGCTGACAGCTTGTGTTTTAAAACTCACTCTGAGGCTGGGAAGTTGGCTCAGCGGTAAAGTGCTTGCCTCGCATGCATGAGGCCCTAGGTTTGATTCCTCAGCACCACATAAGCAGAAAAAAGCCAGAAGTGGCACTGTGGCTCAAGTGGTAAAGCGCTAGCCTTGAGCTAAAAGAGCTGAGGGACAATGCCCAGGCCCAGAGTTCAGCCCCCATGACCAATCAAAAATGAAACTAAACAAAACAAAACCTCACTCTGGCCAGGAGCCAGTGGCTCACACCTGTAATCCTACCTACTTAGGAGGCTGAGATCTGAGATCAAAATTAAAAGCCAGCCTAGGCACTAAAATCTGTAAGACTTTTATCTCCAATTAACCATAAAAGAGCCAAAAGTGAAGCTGTGGCTCAAGTGCTAGAGGACCAGTCTTGAATGAAAAAGCTGGACATTACTTAGGCCCTCAGTTCAAGGCTCAGGACTGATATGTAAGATAGATACACACACACACACACACACACACACACACACACACACACACACGCATACACACACACTCACTCACTCACTCACTCACTCTGGCTGCTATATGCTGTGTTGAGAGTGGACTATGCCGGCTATGATGGGCAGAGACAGAGGCAGAGGTGAGTTAGAAGCTGATCCGATAATCCAGGCCAGAGCTAAGAAGCATTTGGATCCTGGATCTGTTCCAAAGGTAGAACAGTATGTTTTGTCGGGAGATCTGGAAGTATATATGGTAAAAGAGAAACAGCAAGGTCAAGAATGATTTCAAAGTTTTGAACGTGAGTAATTGGGAGGGGAAGTTTGGAGGGTAAAATTAGGAATTCTTGTTAGGACATGTTGACTTTGGGAACCTTGACCATACAGATGGACTTGTTGAGTAAAGAACTAAATCGTCACATCTAGAGTTCAGGGAGGAAATCAAGGCTAGAGGGAGATATCTTCAGTAGAAGACAGTTGAAGTCATGGGACTCAGCAGTTCCCTAGGCCTAGGGAGTGTGGGATCCCTGGGGCCCTATGGGAGATGCAAAGATACTGAGAGGCCTAGAGGGGAGAAGAACCTAGAGAGTGCTCAAGGAAGCAAGTGAAGAAAGTGTTTCCAGAAGGGAGCTCAGTGGCAAGTCCTTACCTAGCCTGTGGGAGCCCAAGTTTGATTTCCTACACTGAGTCAAATGCTGCTGCCAGCTTTTATCTAGGATTGTATTGTGTTGGAACAACTTTCTTCCCTGAAGCTGCGTGATATATATGAACATCTCTAGATATTTTACTATGAATGTTTAATAGACGCAGGGAGTTTTTTGTAAACAATGCAGCATCTTTGTATTTCTTTAAGTACATTCCTGATCACTGTTTCAGTTGTAAAGTGACAAGGTGTAACTGTATGTATTTATAGGTACATAGTGAAGTGCTATCTATACTGTGTGAGGTGGTTAAATCAAGCTAATGGGCATGTTTATTACCTCAAATACTTGTGTTTTTGGTAACAAATTTACTTTCAGCAGTTTTAACACATAGAATACACTGTAACTACATTCACACGCCATGAAATAGATCTCAAACATGTCTTTCTTCTGCTTAACTGAAACTTTGTATTCAAACCAATGTCAGAATAATTTTCTTAGGCTAAATTCCAAAGCAGGAGTTGTATGATTGATCAACATTATGTGTGTGATTTTAAGGCTTTAGCATCTTGTCGAGAGTGCTTTTGTTTTACTACCACCAACATAGCACAGTGCCTATTTGCCTGTGCCCATGCAAAATGGAAATAATTCATTTTCCATTCCTTTGGCAACTCTATGAATGGAAATTGAATTTATATTTGACACCAAATGAGTTTCAATATTTCTATTTTCATTCTGTGTATTCTAGGCATATTTCCTATTGACTTCCTCAGGTGATTTTATTTCCAGGGGTCAATGTCTTTTTTCTGATTCATTTATTTGAGCCAGGATTCCTGTGTACTAAGGATGTCAAGTCTCTTATGTGACCTAATTTTATTTCTGGCATTGGACATGATATGAAAGTCTTATGTAGCTAAGTTATTAAGATGTTCATTTATGACTTTTACCCTTATGTGTGACACTCAGAAATTCCTTCTTCCCTCAAGATGACAGAATTATGCTGAGGAAACCCTAAACAGATTTGTTAGTGTATCCATTTATCTTTTAACTTTGGAAAATCTATTTCCTCATAATCGTACATTTAGATTCTGCTTCCACAAGAGGCACAGTAAAGTCACTTAAAAAACAGAACCCAATAATGTTAGGGGCAAATAAAGGACAAAAAGTAGATGTAGCTTTGAGGAGGAATTATACAAACAAGCACACATTGTCTGCAGCTAGACCTAGCCACCATTTTCTGTTTTGAGCCACAAATTTCAACAGTAATTCTGTGTCACCCCATGCTCAACTCCATGAGTTTTAGCTGAAAACAACATGTATTTGACAGAGCACAAATGTGTAAGTAATTGAGAAGGGCTTAAAGTTTCAGTATCTACTCTCTTTTACTTGTGGCACTTACTAAGCAAATGACTACTACGTGAGCCATGCCACCTTTTTTTTGGCTTTAGTTATCTTTTAGATGGTTGCTTTTGTTTGTTTCCAGGACCAATCTCAGACCTCAGTCTTCCTTCTCATGCCACCTATAGCTGAGGTTATAGATATACACTACCAGGCCTGGCTTGTTAAGATGTGGGTTTTGCTAATTTTGTCTTGGGCTGGACTTGGACCATGATCCTCTTGATCTCTGGCAGCCAACTAGCTGGGATTTGTAACCACGGTGCTCAACCACCATTTAGTGACTACTTTCTTATATCTCTTCCTACAGATGACTTTTTTTTTTGGTCCGGTTGTGGGGCCTGAACTCTGGGCTTGGGCGCTGTCCCTCAGCTCTTCAGCTCAAGGCTAGCGCTCTACCACTTGAGCCACAGCGCCACTTCCGGCTTTTTTCTTTTTGCTTATGTGGTGCTGAGGAATCGAACCCAGGGCCTCATGCATGCAAGGCAAGCACTCCATCTCTGAGTCACCTTCCCAGCCCTTACAGATGACTTTTAACTAGCACACAGTTGCATCGTAGGATAGGTGGAAGAGACTGGGACCTGGAGTCTGGCTCTATGTTCCACCACTTTTACTGCAGGGCCTTGGGCTAGTTCCTGGTATCTCCAAGCCATCATTTTTTTCTCAAACCTGCCTCAATGGATCAATGCAAAGATTGAGTGAGATAATACATAGATACCACTTAGCACAGTGCCAGGCATACATAACTACACGGTGTTAACTGCTACTGTTACTTTACCTTTATTTTTAAATTCTGAAAATGTTCCATTACCTCTTTTGCTAGTTTTTGTCCTTGTTCCACACATATAGGTTTTTCTTTCATATCATTCAGTCTTGCTAATGTTTTGGGGTCATCTCGGAGATCAATCTAATTAAGAAAGGTCAATAATGTCCCATAATATTACAATTCTTTAAAGAGAAATAAAAACATTTAGCCCCCACATACAAAAAAAAGATTAAACAAAAAAACTTAATTTGTAAAGTTAATAATTGTTTTTGGTACTGTTTTCTCCAAAATCATGGTAGAATTAATTAACTGGAAACTGATTAAACACTTACCATTTGGTAACCACAGAATCATTTATAACAACTCCCCCTCCCCCCCAATAAAGACTGTACAGTATATTTTTCAATGGGCAAAAGCAAAGCAGACATACCTGAGTTCCTATTAATAAAAAGGGTACATTTGGTGCATACTCCTTAAGTTCGGGTACCCATTCCTCTTTCACATTTTGAAACGAGGCTGGATTTACCACAGAGAAGCATATGAGGAAGACATCAGTCATTGGGTAAGATAAAGGCCTCAGACGATCATAGTCTTCCTATAGAACAAAAGGGAATCTCATTATTTACATGTACATGTCTACAGCCAATAATAATATGCACGTGAGGTCACATGTTCACCAGGCCAGTTCAGAAGCACCCTGAGTTCTACAAATGGAATGTCGGCCCTCCTCATACAACTAGGAAGAGCTATCAGAAATTCCATTTATTTTTGGCTGTTCTTTTTCAAAATCCTAACCACCACTGGGTAAAAATTTGAAAACTAAGAAAATAGGATGTGGTGTAATCTTAACACTCAGGAGGCTGAAGTAGAAAGATCCAAAGTTCAAGGCCAGCTTGGGCTATAGACCAAGACTGTTTTAAAACAACAAAAACAAAATCAGAAAATACATGGTGATTACTAAAAGCTATTGCTGGAAACCTTTGGAACTGAAAGCACTGCAAAGAACTGAGTTGAGACTTTGTATTAAGATAATGAACATTTACTATATGTCAAGCACTGACAATGTTTATACGAATTACTAAATCCTTACAGTCCTAAGGAGTGTACTTGTCTTTGTTTCCCTTTTGTGTAATCACAGGCACCGAGACAGATAACTGGGACTCAAATCTAGAGCTGTTAGGGCTAACAGCTTTACTAAGACCTGTGAGTTTTGCTTTGTATTTCTACAATTTTCTTCTGTGTGTGTGTGTGTGTGTGTGTATGTGTGTGTGTGTAAAGACAGAAATCTAAGTGTGAATCCATCAAACTCCCTTTTTTCCCCAACTTGTATTTTCTTTCCTAAATATTTCCCTGAGTGTTCTTCCAGTTCTTTTGTCTGGGTATACACACCCACAACTGTCCATGTGAATTTATCTGGACGCAAAAAGGAGACCACACAGAGCGAGTGTGCTCTTCTACATCTTCCTCGTGCAGTCTGTCTTGGGGATGCCTCCACATCAGAATATATTAGGTTACCAAAGATTTAAACTGTAGCTTCACAGCTGTCCTGATGGGAGTAGTTAGTCTTGTTTTGCATGGAATATTTCTGGGACACCAAATTCTGCTTTTTAAAATTCCACTGAAGGAAGCAAGTGAGTATTCCATTTTTGTTGTGGCTAGACAATCAGCCCATTTCAAGGAAACTGATTTTGATGTTGGCCACCTCCCCTCTTAAATGACTCATTTCACTGTGAGAACAGCACACATGTGGAGCTAAGAGAATATTAAAAGCAGCTTCCACTCCGTTACTACAGTACCATTTCCCTTGTGGACCAATTTTTCCTTCATGTCATCTTCTGACATTTTTCTTAATATATGCTCAACTCAAGCATGCAAACGTCTTGATATTTGTGGAGGATGGGTTCTGAATCCCCAGTAATGCCTGAATCTTTACGTACTCAAGTCTTATATACATATAATCACCAGAACTCCTCTGCAGACTTACAGGAGGAGCTCTGTACATGCTCAATACACACCCTAACAATATTTTAATGTACAGTAGGTTGAATCTGCATGCATGGAACCTACAGATACAAATGTTCATTGTATTAATGCCTCAAACTCAGGCTGGAAATGAAGCTTAGTGGTAGAGTACTTGCCTAGTATGCATAAAGCCCTAGGTTTGATTCCTCAGTACCACATAAACAGATAAATCAGGAAGTGGTGCTGTGGCTCACATAGTAGAATGCTAGCCTTGACCTAAAGAAGCTCAGAGACAGTGTCCAGGCCCTGAGTTCAAGCCCGAGGACTACCAAGAAGAAAAAAAAAGTCTCTGACTCAACTCTGCAGGCTAACCCTTCTGTTGTTTTACAATGGTTTTTTTATGTTATTTTTTTAGAAATGGAGGCTTGTAACTAGTTTCCATCAAAGCTGTGCCCTGGTTTAGAAATTAGTAGGGAGAAAATCAACTAGAATGCATGTGCATCATCTTATACCCTGCCTAGTTACTACAAGAGGGCTAAAATACAAGTAATATAGTTAATAAATGGGCAAATAATATAAGCAGACACTTCTCAAAAGAAGTACAAATAAGTAAGTCATATTTTCTAAATGCTCAACGTTTTTTCACCAGGAGGGAAATGCAATCAACACTGAGAGTACATCTCATTCCAGTCAGAATGAATACAAGCCATAAATACAGGCCAGATTGTGGTGGGGGCCAGGGAGGAACCCTTATATTCTACTGGTAGAAAGACAAATTAGTGTAGACATTATGGCAATCAGTATGGAGGTTCCTTTAAAAACTAAACATAAAATTACCATGGGAGCCAGCTATACCATGCCACTCCTGGGTATACAACTAAGGAATCAATGCAAACATATACTAGAGATCCTGGTACCCTATGTTTTCTGCTGCACTACTCACAATAGCAAAGAAAGGGAATCAGAGTAGGTGCCCTTTGATGAGTGAATGGATGAAAATGTACCAGATATGTGCACAGGGGAGTATATTCAGCCAAAGAAAGAAGAAAACATGAATGGAATTGAGGTCATCATGTTAAGTGAAATAAACCAGACAAACAAATATAACATTTTCTCTCATATAACGGAAGCTGGAATTAAAAAAAAAGAACAAAGAAGTAGAGGAATTACTAGGGAAGGAGTGTAAAGGAGAGTAGTTAAACAGTATGTATAACCAAAGCACAACAAATGCATGTATGGACAGTCACGGTGAAATCCATTAATATATACAGTCAAAATGAATTAGTAATTACAATGTTAAAACCAGGTTGATCTGGTGGTAGTGTGAGTAGGTATTTGCCTATGCTTTCTGCACTGCCTCATTCAAACTGCAAGTGCACAGGCAACTAAGAAACTGGATTCACTCTCACCATCCTAAGAGCTGCTCTAGGCTTCGGAGCAAACCTGCACATGCACAGTGGAGGTGTTCTCATTAGAATCAGTCCTCATCCATATTTAGATTTCCAATTTTCACAGAAACAGAAATGGGGATACTATCCCATAGGATTCCAAGCAATAAATGAACTCATGTAATTGAAGCACTCAGCATTGCACTTGGCACATGAAGAACTTGCTCTGTGCTTTCACATAAACGCCTTGTCCCATGGGAAGCTGAGTCTGCTTCCTCTGCAATCCATGCAAGGTCCCAGGAGCGCTGTGCATTCCTGGCTTTGGCACTTCCTCCAAAGACAAAAAGGAAAAGGAACTCTTACTGGGAAATAACATTGTCTAAATACACCAACTGAGGTCTCTTGAGGGCAATATAATTTTCAGATTAACAAAAAGAGGATGAAATATTATTACTGCACTAATTAGTCATTTTGAAACACAACAACCTTAGATTCCTTAAAACATCAAAGGAAGATTTAGATTATTCAAGAACACCAAGTTAGATAGTTTAATGACTATTTTACCTCAAGTTTATCTCACTAGGGAAATAGAATTCTACACACTTTTTCCAGAGGGCTATAAAAAGAAATCTAAAGGTGTTAAATCCAAAGGTCTCTAGAAATGCTTACTAATATTAACCCAACTATTCCATAGCCCTTAAGTCTGTTACAAAGGTTCCTTTCTTAAACACAGTGAACCAGGTCTGACTTCCCTCAGTGGCAGAGATGTGGACACCATGGAAGGCAATTAGATCGACCATTTCTAGGCATTTGTTAAATTGCAGATTTTGATAGGATAATTACATGTGAAGAATGAGTTGTTTTTTGTTTGTTTTTTGCCAGTCCTGGAGCTTGAACTCAGAGCCTGGGTGCTGTCCTTGAACCTCTTTGTGCTCAAGGCTAGTACTTTCCCACTTGAGCCACAGCACCATTTCCTGCTTTTTTCTGAGTTGTTTATTGGACTTGAGTTTCACGAACTTTTCAGCCCAAGCTGGCTTCAAACCATGATTCTCATATGTCAGCCTCCTGAGTAGCTAGGATTATAGGCATGAACCATCGCTGCCTGGAAGAACTAGGTTTAAAAAAATTTTTTTTAAAGCAAGTATGTTTAGAACTCTTTGGAAAGAAATGTTCCTTTTATACTACCTAAAATGAATTCCTTCTGGTTATCACCTCTGGCTAAATACCTGACAGTTATTATAAGAAGGAGACCTTTCTGTTTCATCCAGCCTGAGTAATTAGAAGGCTAATAATAGATAGCAAATTAAAAGACAATAAATTATCCCCTGTGCATACTTTAGCCAGCATCATATAAAATTGTTAATACCCACAGCACACCATATCTTGAGAGTGAACTTATGTGAAACATTGGAACAGGTGGAAATAACTAGAACCTTTCAGCTCATTTTATATTTTAAATCTGACAACACAAAGGAAGTTAAATGTTTTTAAATGCCCTATGGTTAAATGACCACTTAGCAAAATCAGTTCTTCCAGCTAACTCTCCAGTGTCCTAATTAACACACCAATTATATATTTGAGTTCTCATTTAAAAAGTAGGTATTTAAACATTTAACTGGAACACTCTCAGGAGCAGAGAAAAAATGTATTAGAAGCCCAATATCAAAACCATGAAAAAAATTGATGAGTTTGGTTAACAGTCTTTTGAAAGTTCTTTAGCTTCTTAACTGGATAGCTAGATGTATCAGTTTTTAAAAGTATGTTCTGATTTGTGAGTGGGGACAGGAGGAAAAAACTGGGAGAGAGCGAGGGAAGGGGTGACATTGTCCAAAAACAAATGTACTCTTTACCTGACTTATGTAACTGTAACCCCTCTGCATATCATCTTTATAATAACAATAAAAATAAAAATTTTTAAAAAGTGTGTTCTGAGAGCTTGGTGATTAGGTTCTCCACTCTTGTCCAGAGAGGATGACAATCATAGTCCTTAAAAATATCACATACTTGCCACCTGATAAGAATCACAGACAAGAGGCCAAAGAAATCTTCCCTGAGAGGAAAAATAAAAGGTGCTCAAGAGCAACAGAGAAACAGCAATATTCATCCATAAGACACTCCTTACAACAGCCTGCCGGGCCCATGAACCTACCCACTTCTGTACTATTCTTGCCCCCCTCAAGTGGACCTGGGTGTTCCCTTCTAATGTATTTTGTCTAAATACATGTTTTCTTTCATTTTTTGCTTT